ATATAAACCTTCTTATTAGAATAAAAAGGAACATATCTTGTCTCTTATCCATTAACCAATCATATAATACTATTGTGGAAAGCTTATCATATTGTCTTCACCCCACCTCATGATTTGGTTCTAAAATACATGGGAACACATACATGACACTTGATTACTTGAATGTTAATATAATTTCCCCTTATTTGTGAAAATGTAATTAACTTCATGAGTATCTCTGTGTCAAGGCCCATTTATTATTATAGAAAGATCATGTTGGGATGCTATACAGTGAGTTGGAATTGTAAAATATTAGGATACTTACAAGGAAAGTTTAGATATTAAGGCCCATTTTGGATTAGTTTCTAGCTTATGGCAACTTTTCCTTTGAGATAGATATTTGATTTCTAACTTACAAAACAGCCTTAATAATATTATATGTGCTTACGGATATTGGAGAATATAAGGGAGTGTGTTTTATTAAAAGGCTTATGTGGACAAGTTAGTTTTAGCTTGTACAAGAAGCTTGATTCATTTGTCAACTTGTTTCGTTCTCCCTATCAGAAGTTTATCTAAACTGACTCTAAGTTTTTATTCTCTAAATTAGATGTTTTTAAGGTTTATTTGCTTGAAATGCTTGATTTTACCGATTCTCATTTCAATGCTGTTTGTGTTGATCAGTTCATTACGAAGGCACACTTGCTGATACCGGTGAAGTTTTTGACACAACACATGAAGATAACACTGTCTTCTCTTTCGAGCTTGGAAAGGGCAGTGTTATCAAGGCTTGGGAGATTGCAGTGAAAACCATGAAGGTCTAATAAACTATACTTTGGATGAAACACTATTTAGATAACGGTTTTCATCTCATATTTATCTGCTAATCTTGCTAGGTTGGAGAAGTTGCAAAAATAACTTGCAAGCCAGAATATGCATATGGCAGTGCGGGATCTCCTCCAGATATTCCTCCAGAGTATTATTCTCATGCCACAAATATTTGTTAGAAAACGTAATAATTGTTCAACAAAAAAGGTTAAAAATGAAAGTTGCACCTTAGAAAAATGAGAAAGCCGAGAAGAGGCCGTTTGTCATTACATTTTTACTCTTTTAAGGTACCACAAAAAATCAACCTGGGACTCAAATTTTCTAGGATTCCAATTATTTTCAATTACTCAACTATCATGTCACGAAATCAGCTTATGTGGTGAATTGATGGGTGAGGAATTAGGAAGGGAGGGTGAATGGAAATAAAGTTGGGTAATCTAAAAGAAGAGAAATAAGATGGAAATTATTTTAAGATGGTGAGATCTATTGAATTATTTCTCACATATTTCAACTCATTTCTCTTCTCATCTATTCTTTATTTCTCTTCAATTAAACATCTTTAATTTTCATTTTATTTCTTACTTAAATCCACTCTTTTTCTCTCCTCTATACCATGCAAGGCTTCCTTCTTTAGTCTTGCATGGTGCGTCCAACACATATCTAGTCCCATGTGTAGTGAGAGTTCTGTAGCACCAGATTTACCTTTAGATTATTATTAGATGAAATCATGCTGTAATTCCTTAAAGCCTTTCTTTGTTCCCTATTCTACTAATCTATTTTCACTTTGGTCAAAAGAACTTGCATCTAGCAGTGGCTTCAAATTTATAATTTTTCAATTTCCTTGTAGAGCAACACTTGTTTTTGAAGTTGAGCTAGTTGCCTGTCGGCCAAGGAAAGGTTCCAGTTTGGGAAGTGTTTCAGAGGAGAGGGCCAGGCTTGAGTAAGTAACTCGGTTTAAAATTTTACCAAATATATCTGCTTCTATTTGCTTTGGGTGTCCCTCTTTCATTATAAATTAATAATAATATATGATATATTGTGATGAAAAACAAAACGAAAGAGAGCTGAAGAAGCAGAGAGAGCTAGCTGCAGCTGCCAAAGAGGAAGAGAAGAAGAAGAGAGAAGAAGCAAAAGCAGCAGCTGCTGCACGTGTGCAAGCCAAGTTAGAAGCCAAAAAAGGTCAAGGAAAGGGTAAAGGTAAAGCAAAGTAGGGTCGCATAAACATCGACATAACTTAGATATATTTTGATGACAATCAAATCAAAATAGTTACGTATTATCTACTATTCAGCATCTCACTTCCCCTTTGGCCCATCCAAAACATTGTATAAATGATTGGTTTTGTTCATCCACATAACATAAATATGATGTTTGGTAAGATGCTACGTAACCAGCCGCTAGCAAAGGGCATTTTCCCGAACCACAACAAGCTACAGCCATGGTCTCCCTTTTCAATGAAGGGTGGTTAAAGGTAGAGACAGTTAATTTATGCAGTGAGGTGAACTTTAAATATCCAGATATTAAGAAGTGCTAGTAGGTTAAAATTTATTGAAAATTAGAAAATCATGATATTGAAACATTAAATAAGATATAAAACCCACACACTGATTTTAAATAACATAACCAATAAAATGAAGTGTGTTCATAAGATTAGTGCTTCATTAGCTTTTTATTTTCTATAGATATTTAACATCAGTAGAAATTCTTTAGCACATGTTTACACTTAATTCTTTGATAATTCTATCAGAATTTTCGTGACACCGAAAATATTGGTTAATGCGAGTAAATAACAGTAAAAATATTTTTAATAAAATGAGGACACCTTTCTATCTGGGTATATATATATATTATGGATTATTTTTTCATATATAAATACTAGATTGAGTTTGTATTTGTTAATAGATAAATTATTGGCATTCCGCTGAAAAAATTTGACACGCTTCGTACAAACAAACTTACACTTTAGTCTAAAACTGTCTGCTGTGCACCTTCTGAAATTTACCAAATTGTCTCTACGCTTTGTTTAAACTTATGCAACCTCTGAAACGTATTTCTTTTAGAAAGACTATTCCAGAACCAATTTAAACTACTTCAAAAAATATAATCTAAGAATCATTTTTACTCTACTCCAGAACATTTCTCCTGGAACGATGCATTTTATCTCTTTCAGGAAAACTGTTATAAAAATAATGTAACATCCCTTTGAAGATATAATTCTGAAAAAAAATTAAACACCCATTCGAAAAGAACATACAGATCACCTACTGAGATTATATTTTAGAATGAACTAAAGTAGAGAATTTAGTCTGAAAAGGATCTATTCAAAAAGCTCTTCTCAATGAATTTTTTAGAAGGGATAATTTTTTTAGGTAGGTGTAACATGCCTAAAAGATTATTTCAGAAATAATTTAACACCTTTTATGAAAAAATTCCAAAATGAATCCTAATTATTCCAAAAAAACTTATTCAATAACCATATGTATCATTCTAAAATGTTTTTCTTTTTTTAATTATCTTATCAGAAGAATGCTAAATTCATTTTAATACATTATTTTCAGAAGAATATTAAATTCATTTTTTTCTCAGAAAGGATAACATTTCATGCAACGGAAATTAAAAAATATTTAAGAAAATTATCACTTCATATTCATATTTTATCGGGGTACTTTGGGAGAGATTTATCTCGTAGGTAGGGATGGCAAAACGGGTCGAGCCCGACGGGTTGCTTGTTTTCAGCCCATCAGCCCGCTTTGGCCCGCCCGCCAAGCCCGTTAACCCGTCGGGTCAACCCGCGAGACGGAGCGGGCCAGTCAGTGGCCCGCCTAATTAATAAAAAAATAATTTTTTATTATAATAAAAATTAATTATAAAGATAATATATAAAGTTAAAAATTTTAAAAAGAGAATTACACTCTCACATAAAATATTTTTCTTACTCGAAACATAACATTTTCTCCTGTTCTCCTTGTTCATCTTAAACATTGATTATTTTTATTTTTATGACTTGAATTAAAGGTGTAAGAATTACTCAACCAAGAATAATGTGAAGTTTTATCAAATAAAAAAGATATAGGTATTTGAATTTTTCAATATAAAAAATATAAATTTTATAAGTTTTAACGTTATATATATATATTTGTTATTATTTATTATTATGTAAATTTTATTATTGTTCTAAATTATAATTTCTTAAAATAATATATTGATTTATATTATTAAATTAAAATAATATATATATATATATATATATTAAATTATTGACAAACAAATAATAATCTTATTATTAAATTTATTAAAAAAAATTATTTTAAAAAATAAATTATTTTTTTCTAAATTATGACGGACCAGCCCGCCTGACTCACTAACCAACCCCTTGGCAAGACGGACCAAGGTCTACAGCTCGTCATGACTATATCGAGCCAGCCGCCCGCCTCGCTTTGGCGGACCAAAGGCGGGACGAGCCAAAACGAGGCGAATTGACCCGTTTTGCCATCCTATGTGTAGGTAAGAAGAAATAGCTTGGAAGTAAACATCTAAAACATAGTTCAAGACTTGGTAAGGTAACAAGTACGAGTGAACATTAGAGTTCTTCAATTGGCTAAATTTTAGAAGAATTATGTTTTAATTTATTTTTTAACTTTAAAATAATATTAATTATTCTTTTATCAATTTTAATTTTAAATAAATTATTTCACTAATTCATATATATAAATTTATTGTGATATAAAGATAAAAAAAATATAATTTTATTAATTATGTAGAAAATATAATAATTTTTCTTAATTCTAATAAAATTATGATAAAATGTGAGTTAAAAATGGTTGATTAAAAAAAGTTTCAGATATAATTATGTAGATAACTTTTAAAACGATCCATTGAATTCGATATCCTGGCTGAATTAATGGCTTGATTGAATTAAACAAGAATAGTAGGAGGCATTGTGACACAAAAGGAAGAATAAGAGAAGTACGGTAGCAGTAGACAAAAAATTGTGCAGATGGCGCCGGGTTAAACACAGCAGCCGAAGAAATATAAGTTGAATAGTTGTTACACGGTATTCTGCCGTTCTTCTCATCCCTACACGTCAGAGGGTAATTACACCAATACGTCAAGAGCTACTAATTTTGAACATCACGAACTAAGTTACACTTTTAGATTTTAATCACACGTCCATAAATTAAAATTAGACGATGTATTCAAACCATGTCCGCGATATCGTTATGTCCATTGTCACTCCATCCAGATCCTGCTCGAAATTTGCAAACAGGGCATGTTCCTTGTTGGCGCAGCCAAGGATCAATGCAATTAGCGTGAAACTTCAGAAAAAAAAAAAAAAAAAAAGGAAACAAGGTGTCAGAATCATTTATAAGAGCTTAATAGATTAATACAGAATATCAACTATCATTTCAGTACATTTAGAATTACTTGTTAAGAGAATAGTCAACAACTGTTCCTCAATAAGTAACACAAATGTAAAAATGCTCGCACTATTACTAAAAGATAACTAAACAAGAGCAAACAATGTTTAAAACATATTACCTTCTTTCTTTAAAATGTTCAGATTTATAATTTGAGAAAATTCTCACGGCATGGCATAATTGTATAAAAGCATATGTTTGATAAACTTTTTTGCCAGGTGCTTCTTCCATTGATACACAACGTTAATGCTCAAATTCATAATGTAAATCCACATAAAAGAAAGTTTTCACAATATAAACATTACAAATCCAAGTCAACTATAGCCCAAATTAACAGGATTTCAACCACATTTTTACTAAGAAAAATGGTGATAACTTAGACATAAGTAAAACCTTTCTTCCTTCTCATAATTTCTAAGTGACTCTAACCTTTTTACTTCCATATATCAGAGAATCAGATGGCAAGAGTAGATATGAAGTGACATAATGAATCATCAAACAACATGAAAGCTAGTTGAACAAAAGTTACAGATTACTAAGCTATGAAACAGACCTGATGCAAGCAAGGTAAGCTACGCAGCACTTCACCAACATTGACTTGTTCCAAGCATACACTACAAGTGAGCTCATCGTCAGAGGCTTTCATGCTCCCAACAGCATTTGAATTATCTTGCTTCTTCTGCCACAAATGAAAAGGAATAAAATATGTAGATCACCATCATCACACTAGCAGCTCATAAAAGAAAAATTCTACAACTTGACAGTAATGAAAAGATTGATCAATAATCATAGAACAACAACAGTAACCAAGTCTTTCCCCTGAACTTATATTGGCTACAAGGACCCAAAAATGCTATAATGTTTTACAGTGAATCAATCTCTACAGTATAGACAAACCATAGACTTACAATGTACATGCTGCATATTTGTACTATCATTTCGTCATTTAACTCACCCAAAAGAATTGTAACGAATACACAAACGATGATGATGTAAATGATACAATGGTATTCACAAATTAATACATCAGTGCTGTGCCAGCACTTTCCCATATCGTCAAGAATAGCTTATGAAAATCACAAGAAAAACATGCAGAAAATGCACCCAATGAATCAATGAAGTTCTCATGAGCTGAATAATTCACTTGAATATGCCACATGGGTGGAGGAAAAAATCAGGCCAGAATGTCAACAATACCTCAGCAGAAGTGGAAGATGATGCTTGTTGTGTTGAGGAACCACCACTGTAAGCAAAAGCAGCTTCTAGTCAAATAATCAGTACTATAATTTTATTACTTTTGCACAAGACTATTTCTAAATGAAGGTGTGTAAATTCCCATTTCAACTAGAAGTTCAAGTTAGTACTAATAACTGGCAGGATAAATTGTACTGAACAGGACAACTTCAAATGTCAACTACTAATATAGAAAGTATATCATATAAAATATGGTAGTATACAGTAATCATAAGCGTCCCAATAGCATGGCAGTAAAAAACCAGTGTTTCCATGTCATCATTCAGAATATATTATTCACAATCAAAGCTATCATAATTTCTTTAACATAGAATTTTCTTAATATTATCATTACAATCTTACCCTCTAATGTATCCTAATATTTTATATTTTATATAATAACATGAAAATGGAGAGCAGTATCTTTTGCCCCACCATACGGACAAGAGTTGTTGGTATAAATTATTAATATCCATTTAAAGGGAAGACATAACTTATCAGAGTGATTAATTACCTCTGGGGACCAGCGACCTTGTATTTGTGAACTGGAAGTGCATTTATCTCTTCCTCAGTCATAGAAGGTGCAGTTGAAACATTATCAGAATCCAAAGCTCTTAAAGTTTCATAATCTGAAATTGGAAAGAAAAATCTGTATTCAATATATTATATAACACGTCTGAAGTGATTAGAGAACAAAATTAACTACAGTAGAACTCGTTTTCAGAATGTTCTAAAAATTTATATCATAAAAGACTGAAAAGAACTACAAACCAAGATCATCAAACTCCCTGTCAAGAAGTGCAAGCTGAAGTCTGAGGCCCTGCAGACGCCCTCGACTTGCAAGTGCGATCGATGGTGGCATATGCAACCTCAGTTCAGTGTGGCCAAGAATGCCACTGGCTGCTGCTGCATGAGCTTGGGCCTGTGCTTGAAGCTGTTGACATGTCGCATACATCCTCAACATTGTTGCCATCAAGAAAACACCAAGCACCAGCCAGAGCTACAAATAGAGATATGACCTTGTAATCCACTTGAATAAAATAAATGACATTTTTTCATTGAAAAACTTGCATGTCTACTTTACATACTACAAGAACTTACAAGAAAATTTGGGGACATCTGATGAGAGTTCAGTATCATGAACAACAGAAGAACTGAAACATATAAGCAATAAGATATAAATGGGACTTTGATGGCCATATGGGGAAAAATCAAAATAATAAAAATGTGATAAATCTGAGAGCAGGAATACCTGTCACGAGAAAAGTGAGTGAATTGGAATTACTAGGACGTGCTGCATGAACACGCTGAATAAAATATTGGAATCAGTATGGAGTTTTGGACTTCAAGTTGTTTTATTCATAGAACAAGAAAACACAGAAATAATAAAACATCTCTCGTGTCAGCTCCATCAAAACGCTTGTACAGGTGCAGATAATGAGTACAAGAAGTACATACCAATGCTCGCCTCTCTGGTATAAATCCTGGAAACCCATTTTCAATATCTGCTCTTGTTCCTCGAAAAACAAAACTCATGGATCTATATATTTGAAACTTGAATTAAAACTTCACAGGTAGACTAGAGACTTGACCAAAATCAGCAATTAAAACCTTTGAATATTCTGAAATATCAAATAAAACCATAGTCAGAAGACAAGAAATCAATAACCCATAAATGCTAGAATATAAAGTTCAATAGGAACTCAAAGAAGGGAAAAATGAAAATTTTCCATGAATACCATATAATTTTATCAGGAGACTGTATCTGATAAGCCAAAAGAGACAGACAGACATACAGTATCTAACAAACCACGTCCTAAGCTTACCAAGATCATCCCTAAAACCGGCCAATACTATAAAATATTATCATTCTTTGGAAATACACATCATATCAATAACATTACCACAAAGGAATAATAGAGTTAAATTTGGGTCCAACTTAACAAAAAATAATAAGGTTAGGCACAATCACTCATATTTCAACTTTCAAAGCAATGCGTGAACATTTAGAATTGTTTCACTCTCACACAGAACAGGGTCCTAAAATAGGTTTCCGTTGAACAGTTTATTTGTGAAAATTTACGTATCCCAAATGTAATAGGAAAGTAAATTTGCCAGTTTTAGACTTAACAGAACATAATTCATCAATTCTAATATCTAAATCTTTTTCTCCTTCATAAAATTCATCCATTTCTACAAAACTAATATCTCATGCCATTCACCAGCTACAATCAACGACAACGTAAATTGACAGAATCAATCACTTGGCTTCCACTACTCGGAGCCAAATAACTTCCAAGCATTACATACAATTACACAATTTGCAAGATTTCAATCCAATTGAGATACACAAATTAAGGTAATAACGTCGATCAAGAATCCACCAATCGTTTACTACGCGGTTATCATTTAACGGCATCGATCAAACCAAGCGCAAATCCTCCAACAAGGTCAAACAAAAACCCTAGCGTAATCTGGAGATAAAATTCAATCGAATCACAACAAGAAAGAAACGCTCAATCATAACAATAATAGTAATAACAAAAACATTGCAAAAACATCTCAGGAGATGAAAAATTGAAAATGGATTCGCGTGAGAGAGAGGGTTACCGAAATTTGCGAGGAACAACAGCTGAATGTGATTGGGGCTGTGATCGGAAACAGCGATAATCGGTTTTCGATCACAAGACAGAGGCGGAATTGGATCTTTCACCTCCCGACTCGATTCGATTCAGCCGAAGATCACGAGAAACGGTAATGGTGATATAGTTTTTTTCTTTTTCTTTTTAGATTTTTTGCTTTTGTTAAACAATGGTAAGTCTGTGTGTGGTGTGCGGTAATCCTCACGTATATACCACCATTATCAGCTTTTTACAAAATAAAGCCATAAAAACCGAACGTACAACAAGATAAAAAAAATGTGATAGATAAATAAAAAAATGCATCTTAAAAAACCTATGAAAAATAGTATAATAAATTAACATTTTTAAAAATAGTATAATAAATTAACATTTTTAAAAATAGTATAATAAATTAACATTTTTAAAAATAGTATTATTTACTCATCCGTCAATATACTACCTCCACTTTCTCTTTTCTGAAGATACCTTCGTTTACTATGAAATCATTTTAGTCAATTTAGTACTGAAGAATTCAAATAATACGCAGATTATAATTTCGTTCAGACAATTCTAAAAAAGTGAATATAACAAATAAAGAAAATCATATAAATAATATATATATATATATATATATATATATTAAAAAAACAACTTTTTTTAATTAAAATAACAAAGAGAGCGAAATTTTAACCATAAACATGACTTATTTGTTTTACTCTCATCTATAAAAATCTTATTAAATATATTTTTAAAATAATATAAACGGCCGAAATAAGTTAAAGGGCCCTGATATTTTGACATGCTCAGTTTAAACAATTCCTCTTACAATCCTTTTGATTAATAAAATAATGATAAAAAATTTAATAAAAATAAAAATAAATTATTATTATTATAATATTAAAAGTGTATTATTTTTAAAAATGGTATGGATTTGGATTGTTAAAATATTATTTTTTATAAGTTAAATAATTTAATAAATTTTAAGTAATAAATAATTGGTTCATTTATGAGAACTCAAATTAAAATAAATAATTAAATAATGATTTAATTAAGAACTTCAAACTGCAATTCAATTTAAAATATCTCAAAACTTAATAAATTAAAATATTAAATAAACATAAATAAATAATACTGGAACTTTTTTTTAATATATAAAAAACTTAATAAATTAAAATATTAAATAAACATAAATAAATAATAATGGAACTTTTTTTAAGTAATCATGATATTGTTTTTTATCAATTTAAAAAAAAAAGACTCTTCCCTATATGAAATAATTTTAATTTATCGTTTATAATTTTATTTCTGTTTTTAAACTTATACTCTCTAAACTTTTTTTCATTCATTACCTCATTTAATTTTACAAACTTTATTTTAGTAATTCTTTTTTAATATCACTCTATTTATTTTAATATGACATATAAATTATTTACTTTCTTGATTTTCCAGTAAGAGTACACTATTTATCTTTATTTGTTGATAAAGTATCTAATAACATAATGGTTTTATAAACTTTTATAATAAAAATAAATGACAAGAGTTCAAAATTAACTAAAATTAAAAATTATGATATTTTTAAATATTTTATTTAAAATAAAATAAAAATTATCTCACTATCATGATTAAATTAAAGAACAAGAATGAAATAAAATCTTATATTTTCTTTTGAATGTTTCGATTTTGAGTATTCTGAAATAAATAATATTGTTGAATTAAAATATATTTTACGTTTTGATTCCAGCTCTCATATGGGGAACATTTTCCGTCCTCAGTCGCCACTTCTCACCATTTCATTGTTAGCTACCTCATCTTCCTCGTCGCCATCATACAAAACTTCTCCATTGCCTTTCAGCTTCCACTCCACGTTACCGTTCAGGGAAACTTATGTTATGTTCTAACTGACTATTTTTCATTCTATCTTCACTATTCAATCATTTTAAATACAAAAGTAATCTTAGAAATAATTTTTCATCTTCTTATATCTATTATAACAAATATGTTTAATGATCTAACTAAAGTATGTTACTCCTTTGAAATCACTCAAGTAACCAAAACCACTCAAGAAACACATTCCTACCGAAGTTGAACCAATAGTACAGACGCATGAAACATGAAAAGAAACACTTCTGCAGCAAAAATACTTATAGAAATCTAAAAATTGCACTACTATTTCAATTTGGCAACACGATTGCTTCAGCTTAAATTAAACTTTGTTCACTTAGTTGTGACTGTCACGTTAAGTTACGCTCTATATTTGCCCTACCCCTACTACCTCTCTACTAACTCCACTTACCTCTACAGATTCTCCAACATCAAAAACAAAACTTCATCGTATGACAGATCACCAAACTCTCACTGCCATTAACAAGTAGTAGATTTGACAACAAAAATAGTCAATCACTATTAGCCAAACCTCCAAACTGATACCATCAAACAAATAGATAATTTAGTAGAACAGGCTTATTTTATGTCTTAATATAGATTTGTTACGTTAAACATTGCAAAATAACTTTACTGTCTACATTGATCATATCTAGTTCTAATAGAATTATCTCTTGTAACAAAAATACACTAGTTGTGTATAAAAAATAACCTATAGAAGGGTTCTCCACCAAATCAAATCCATGATCTATCCAAAAAAGACTAATCTCCCAGTGGTAGGCCACACCACACCCCAACCCAATCTAATCAAACTAAGGACCCATGCCAAGTCTTCGACTCGCAAGTTCACACCTTGTGTCAGCAAATCCAACTCTTGAGTTGACCAAGTCAAACTCCATCCACACGTTCTGTTGATGATGGTGCCCAATCACGTAAGCCTCAATTCCCAACAAATCTGAATTTCCAAACGTGAAACAATACACATCATTTCCCTTTCCCACGTCATCACCCACTCTATACAATAACCTCTCCCCGGACACACCCATCTCCGCCCCCTCAAACACCATCGTCACGGCGGGCACGGCCGGCACAACATTCCCTCTAACCCGAAAACACAAATCCATCGCCCCTTCAAACACAAAATTTGGATCCTCCAAAAGGGTCAGCACCCCTTTCGTCTGTTCCAAAAACTCGTTCTTTAGAGCAGTATAAACCGACCCGAGAAGGAAAGTGAATTGGGTACCCGAATCGACCATAGTCTGACCCGCCCCGGTATGGTCTGGTGCGAAAATTGACTTGGGCACCTGTAATGGTTTCGACCCGACCCTAATACCCATTAAACGAACCGTGTATGCGACACGGTCGAAGTAGGGTAATGGGGTATTCATCTTCACCAGCGGCGTGTACTTCAAAGGGCCCAGCCACGTGAGTTTCGTGTCGCCGAAGAGTAACACGCCTGAGGCATCGTGGCCGGAGATGCAGTAGGAGAATTTCGGAAACCCCATTTGCGTCACAAACGAGAGCGACCCGCGGTTCATGCCCATTAACCCGGTTGTTTTGGAATCTTCTTTGGTGTTGGAGCTAAACCCAGAGTCCATGCACCCGAAGATAATACCGGGTTGACCCGATCCGGATATGGAGAACGTGTCGGTGGCGAGGTTGCCCTCTATGGAGGTGGCGTCAGCGTAGGAGACGATGGCGTGACAGAGATTTCTCGGATCGCAGGAAACGGGTATGGGGAAATCTCGGGTCTGGGCCGTGCAAACGGGTGAGGTGCAAGGTGTGGGGGTGTACGAGGAAGAGAGTTGTGGGTTGAAGATTGAGTTCATGTTTTGGCTTTTATTGCAGTGGAGCCACGAGAGTTCGCTGCCTGTGTCCAGGACCATGGTAACGCTCTGTGGGGGCGTGCCTACGGTTAGTGAAACGGTTAAGGTTACGTTGTGGTGGAATGAGAGCTTACGTGAAGAAGGACTTGGAACAGAAACAAACCCATGTGGGAGTGTTTGGGATTTTAGAGGCAATATGAGAGGGGCTTGGGGCGAAGAATTGGTTGTTTGGACTAGGATAAAAACAGTGAAAAGGGTCATTGTAAGAGGAGGAAGAAGAAGGAAATGGGAGGCCATGTTGTGTCGTGTCTAATGATTTGGTTACCTTGAATTGAAGGCTTCAATTTTTAATGGAAATAATGGAGAGAGAGAGAGAGAGGTGAAGGGTGCGTGTCCTTGTAGTCAGTGACTGTCTTGTGTGGTGGGAAAGTGTTTGAGGTACATCCATGATATCTCTATTCTTGAAATTCTAATATGTAGCTGGATTGAACCTTGAATTGTATCGTGTCATGACATGCAGGGTAATGCGTACAACTTCGATTTTGGCCGTCTTCAAGATGTGTGGAGTGTACAGAAACCTTTACAGTTGTGTTATTTTCTTAGATGCTATTTCACTGGTGACTGAAATACTAATGTTTTCTTAATCTAGATATTTCTTTAAACTAGGCCTTTGAAGTATTCATCTATTTAAGAAACTGATATTATTGCATTATTTTCATTCATACCCCGTTGTATTATTTATATTCTAGTACTTTGCTACGGTGGAAAGTGTATCATTTGGTCATAACCAACTCTTATAATCACTGATTCTCCTTGATTAATTCTCTTGTTGGCATGATTAATTTGAAAGGTGAGGCAGAGAAAAAGAAGGAACACAAGGATGGAAAAAGTTAGATGCTACCAAGGCTTTTTTCAGGAAAAAGGTTTCACTTTAGAAGGTATAACCAAAGACATAAAGTGCAGAGTTCCAGGAAAACCTGGAAAGAAAAGGTTCTGCTTTGTTTGAGATAATGAACTGGCCTATTTATTGTCCCTTGACTCTATTAAAAATTAGTGTGTATTTACATGTATATTGAGACACCTATTAGCCTAAGTATAGTGTTAATATTTATTTGAAAAGTAGACAGACACGTTAATCTTAGTCATGTTGATTTTCGAGGGTGCTGCAGCTAAGTTGACTACATGTTCTATAATTTACTGTTTTAGTCAATTCAGTGCAATGTGAAATAGTTAAACTTGATTTGGACTTGCCTTTGATTGGTTGGAAATAGGGTCTTGCTTGCATTAGTAGAGTTGGTGATAATTTACTGATATTAGGAATTTTTTATGTGTTCAGTAAGATTTGGTTACACAGTTGTGTCCAGTAATGAACCATTAAGTTGATTGCTTCGAGAAAATGTTAAGTTGAATTTTGGTTTACTAGTCTTTTGGTGGTGTCAGGCTTAGAAGGTGAAACCTTGAGTCTTTGAATAAACTGATATGATTAGTTATAAGTTTTGATGACGACACCGACTTTTCCCTTTTAGTGGGACTGAACATTTTTATATTTCCCACACAACATTGAATTTCTGCACTTTAATCTAGAGGTAAGGCTTGTGACTAGATAGACAGTAATGTCGCAAAATGGATTTTGTTTCAATAACATTAAGACTTAATCCATTTTTTCTTCTGTTTATTTATTTGATTTAATTTCATCATACTATTAATTAATAAATTATTCAATCTAATCTCATATTCATAAATCAATTTAATATGTTTTATTACGTTCATATCAACTTGAAATGGTGATGCTAGTTATCAATAATAATTTAAAATTATCATTAAAAAATTGTTGCTAATTGATGGTAACATTTTTTTAGTGGCATTGCCATTGATGGAGGCTAATGGTACTAATTTAATTTAGACAGAAAATATAAGATTGTATTAATCAAAGAAAACTCTTTATTTTTTATTTAAATTTCTTAATTGATGATTTAAGGACACTAGTTAGATTTTTTTTTAATGTTAATTTGTCGCCATGAAAACATTAAAAAAACACATGAGCCAACTCTATTCACCTATTAACATGATTTAAATGAATCCCTTTAAAAACAAAAATATATTATGTTTAGACTTGGAAAATTTAGTGTAACAACACACATTAACATAAAATATAAATAACACTTAACATGGAGATTAAACCCAGATAAAAAGTGTGTTTAGAGGAAACTTCTTTTGTAACATTTTTAATAGAAAAAAAAGGAAAAAATTAAGTTATATATAATTTTTTTATAATCTAATTAAAAATAACTTCTATAAATTAAGTTATCATAACCTAATTGTAATTTATAGAGAAATTAATATTTTATTATTTTTCTCTCTTGAAAAACATATATAGAAAAGTTGTTCAAAAACAGATCCTAAATCATTAATTGAGGACACTAGTTAGCATCTTTTGAATAAATATTATGGCATAAAAATTAGTGTATGTTTGGTTTTCATCCGTTTAAAGGAAATTTGCATAAAAAATCTATATTCATTCCAAAAGGTATTCCACAAAGATTAAGTTTGCACATTTTTCAAACTCACCCAAGACTAAGAAACAAAATCCAAAATTATTTTCACTTGTTCCACTCAACATTATCGTGGTGGCCAACTACATGCCATTCATGGGTGATACTAATTTCTTGTCCGTTTTACTTACCCATCTCACTTCCAACTTTCTTAATGGTCTTTCCTTTGAAATTTGCACATAATGACATACCCATAAGGTTCGAGTGGCACAAACGAATCAATTTGAGAGAAATTTAAATTCTAACTATTTTGTTTTTCTAGCAACGTGGTCCAAGGATTTGGTATTAATATTCCAATACAACTCTCTTTATGTCATTCAATTAATTATAGCTACGGAAAAACTACCCTTCATTTTAATTATTGGTCAACTAAATATGTTGGTATCTTGTTTTGTTCTCATCATGAGGTTTTGTCTTCGTAAGAAAAATGGCTGCAATTTTATTTTTCAGTTGAAACTTCCATGACTCTATTAAATAATATGTAAAGTGAGTGACATAAAATTGATTCTTGGCAATCTCAATGGGATTCATTTAATTCCCAAAATAGCTAATTGATATTATTCTCTTTCTAGAGATGTTAGTTCAAAACGATAAAACTTCTTTTGATCATATAATTTGTATCTTTAACTTTTTTGGTAAAATTCTAAAATATTCTCATAAGTTTAGTTTTTTAGTTATTTATGAGATTAGTTATCAATTTACAACTTAGTTATATCTAAAAATTCCATCCCTTCTATTTATTGTGGGTGTGTATCAGAAAATATTTAATTCTTTTATTAATTTACGAAGAAGAAAATAATGTTAATAAATATGAAATTTAAATATAAAACATAATTAAAATCAAACAACGGAAGCCCTAATTACAAACCCTGAAATTGTTGTTTTTGAACTATGTTCAACAAGAACGGCTAAGATTGATTTTTTGCCAACAAACCCCACTGTAGATTTTGAAGCTGGAATTGAATAAAAATGGAGAAAAGGGTTGAAAAGCACAAGTTATCATCATCAGCACCACCGCTATTTTTCTTGTTGGTAATTCAATTTATTTAAACTTTTATTTTCAAAGTAAATATTTATTCCTTTGATAAAGCTTACGGCGAATGTACTTAAAGAAAAACGAAAAAAATAATCTGGAAAATATGACACACGAGGGTAGAGGACAAAACAAAATTATTACGCAATAGCTGGCCTTAACTTGAATGGAAAACACAAAATGGGAGAAAATTTTAATAAAGAGGAAGAAGCGATGGTTTTAATTATGACTAATTAAATTATTCCTCACCTTGGCGTCCCCAATTTTTTTTTTTACTAAATTTCTCAGTAGGAAAAAGACTGGACATAAAATTCATACCAGCCCAAGCCCAAGCCCAATAAAAGAGATTTAAAAATTTTCATTATTGGGTGCGTCGAGTCTGTTTACAGTTTGGGTTGATGTATTTTTGCAGTAAAATTCGCAGCAAATTCCTGGCAATATTTTCTTCAAGAAAATGGACCATCTCCAGTACTGATACTTCATCTACTAAAGAAATGAATATCAATTTATGCATTCATTGATTTTATATCCATGAAAATTTATACAGAGATAAAGGGGGAAAATTTGAAAGATATGTTTTTTATGTATGGAAATTCTATAGACCAGTAAAAAAAAATTACTTATTCATTATGCATATTGACAAAGGAACAGGTCACATTAAATTGGTAATTTGCTACATCTTTTATGAAAACAAGAGGTGTAAAAGAAAAAAAATTTAAGAGTGAAAATTACATTTTTTTATACCCGTAATATATGTGTCATAATGTAACATAAGAAAATGAGAAATAATAAAGTATTTATGATGTAATTATCTGAGATATATTATTATTCTTTTTAATTATCCATATATAGCTTATAATATAAGACACGGATTTTAATAATTTGTTTGTTTCATCGGCTTTGGGAATAAAGATAAAAAAAAAACATTTTTTTTGAATTTTTATTTGGTGATAACATGTGAAGATAGAAAATAAAAGAAAAAAAAATTATATACAAACATTTTTTATTTAATATAGTCATATAATTTCATGCATTTTTTTAATGTAGCCAAACAAGAATAAAGGGCTCCTTTCTTTCAATTTTTTTCTAATAAACAACCTAAAGGTTATCTAACTTTCTTTACATTTTTGTTTTCCTAAACTTAATATATCATAGTTTCAAGTTTGTTGACTGCCAGAACTTTTATCTTCAAATCTATGTTAAGTTCATGCAAATTATATATTTTCATCTGAAGTTCTTCAAACTTTGTAAATATAAATTTTTTGAAAAGGTTATTGCTTGTGCAAAACTTTCCAAAATCCGATTAAGACAGGCCAACAAACAACGACTTTTTTTCATAAATAATACTGTTTTAAAAAATATTTACCCAAATAGCACCTCTGCAACTTTATTTACACAACTAGCACTGTTTACTGTTCACTTAATAAAATAATATTATTTCGCGCAACTGTTCATTGTTCACTGTATTAAAATAATATTATTTCGCGGACTGAACTCTCGCTCAAGCGAAGAAAACCTTCGCTTGAGCGAGGAAACCTGTAACAAAGGGGTAGTCTGGGGTAAATTCTCGCTCAAGCGAAGTTTTCTCGCTTGAGCGAAAAGTATGATCGACTATTATCCCATTATAGTCGATCACTTTGACATATATGACTTTAGATAGCGGTTATTTGGCCAACCGCTATCTAAACTAACCGCTATCTAATGCAGTAGTT